TTACTACTACTTACTACTACTTACTATTACTTACTATTACTTACTACAACTTACTACTACTTACTACTACTACTACTACTACTACCTACTACCTACTACCTACTACCTACTGCCTACTACCTACTACCCACTACCTACTACCTACTGCCTACTACCTACTACCTACTACCTACTACCTACTCCCTACTACTACTAGTACATGGCCGGCCGGCCGGCCGGCCGATATGGCCAGCCGGCCGCCCGGCCGCTCCAGGTGCCAGCCGGCCGGCCGGCCGCGGAAGAAATCGCTACTACTACTACTACTACTGCTACTAGTCTACTACTACTACTACTACTTGGCCGGCCGGCCGGCCGGCCGCTATGGCCAGCCGGCCGGCCGGCCGCTATTTGGCCAGCTGGCCGGCCGGCTGGTCGCGAAATAGCAGGCCGGGTTGCCCGCGCTGTCTGATTTTAGCAGTGACCTCACTCGAAGACTCTAATGTTATTCCGAAGACCCAGAAAGGACCTTCGGAGGCTCTTTTTGCCTTTCTGAGGCCCAGCGGCATCTCCATTTTCGTCGGCGATCGACGTGTTTTAGTCAAAAAGCCTGATGAAGAGCACTTTGAGGCACGAAGCAGAAAGTTCATGGCTGTCGGTGAAACCGGGAGATGTGGGTTGACCGATAATGAACAGAATAGACAAATACGTAGTCTACCTGGGAGGTCAACCTACAAAGGTTTTGGGTTCCAGATTTTGACTCACCTCCATATGTTGATGTTGATGTTTTTCTCCTGAAGCACTACCATGAAAAAAACCTTCTTTGGAGGCACCTGGACCTCTGAACCTCACCAACTGGGTTGTGCGGAAACCGCTGGAGGCTGGGGGGGTTTCGGCGCAAATGGATCAAGAGAATCAAGGTGAAAAACGCTTGTACAGGTCAATCAGCCCATGCCGGTCAGCTTCCCGTTTAATTTGCAAATATAATCCCATCGTTTTGCCGTTGCTGTTGACGATTGAGGTCAAAGTTGCTATATCATCTACAAAAAGTGAGATTTGGGCCATTGGCCTTGAGCTCGGCAAGGGCTCGCAATTCCCATCAGCAGAAGAGCAGAATAAATTTTAATACAACTTGAATGCTTTCGAGGATGCAGATGACTCAAGTAGATTTTAGTCTCCACCAAGGATTTGTTATTAGTGTGCCGATCGTCCGGGATGAGGAAGTCGTAGAGCAGGCATAGGAGTGAACAAAATGTCTAGACAGATTCCGATGCCATTTTTGTCGGGCTATTGGAAACAAGAAGCTACTAGGAACAAGTGCGTCGCTTCTAGTAACAAGTGCCTTACTAGTAGTAACAAGAAGCTATTAGAAACAATATATTCACAGTTTTGGCCAGTATTTCTCACAGGTCGTGAAGCTACAGCCACCACTGGAGGAGCATCAGATGTGTGAAGACGAAGCACCATGTTCTGACCCAAGGAAGCACCGACCCAAAAGTGAATTCTCCACAGGACCGCATGAAGCTAGATATGGAAAGGGTTCGACTGCCTTCAGCTGAGTTTCTGAGAGGCAGCACAACATGCCAGGTACACACTATATAGAACGTCGAACGTCAGGCCTTTTGTTCCTTCCATTTCTGGCAGTTCTTGAAGTTCTTACTCCTTTAACGGGGCAGTTTGGCAGTCGTAGGGTTTTCTCATGTTTTCTTTGGTATCCGGCGGTGCTGGATTGCTTGGGTCTTTGTCACATTTTGCAGTATTCTCGGTCGTCTCGTTTGTTGAAATGCTTTACCTGTAAGAGTTGAAATATGGCACAAAGAGAGCGTTGGCCTTTGTTCTCAAGCTGCACAGCTGTTTCAGGGCCGACTTTCTTCCATTTATGGTCTATGCCGGAATCGGAATGACATTAAGTAGGAGTTTTGAGTCATTCGCTGCTTCAAAGAATGCATTGCGTGGCCAATTGGTCTAGCTTTGAGACAAGAAACTCAGGTGGGTGATGGAACACCGGCCAGACAGAGTGTCAAAGAAGGACTGGGGAGACCAATCCTGTCACTTTTTCCTTTGTTGAGTCTAGTTCTTTTCCTTTTCTCAGTGGGGCTGTGGCTCTTTTGCTTTGATAAATCATTGCTTGATGTTGCCTCAATGTAGCAAGGAAAGTTGAACATCAAACCTTTTACCTCAAGCCACACCCAGTCCACAACATCTGAACTTCAGTAGGGACGGAGTGTTCCAAGTTCCAACTGCTCCGGAACATCGGACTTGCCTTGAGACGCTACAAGAGCACATCCGCAGCAGGACACCCTCCGCTGCGTGGAACCACCGGTTCTCAAGCTCACGGACTGCAGCGAGTTCCTCAGGGTCAAGAATGACACGTGCGGAAATTACAAGAACTCACATGTAAAACTCGACAACACGTCGATGAAACTCGACAAACTTATTCCTTTCAAACTTGGACCTGCAACCCCATTTTTGTCACTGCTGCAGCTAGCCTCCTACGCATCGAACAAGCTGCACGGGGTTCAGCGTCCCCGACCCAGATCAGAGCAATGTTTGCGGTGTTTGAGTTGGAAATTGAAGAGCTTGAAGTTTGAAGTATGGAACACTTTATGATGAACCTTATGTTGAGTAACGCGGCCCTGTGTTGATCTATCAGCTTGATACAAAGGAATGAACGAACATGTGCCCCATGAAGCATCGATTTCGCCAGGTGTGAGCACTTGCAGTGCTTTGATCTCAATTCCTACATCCACACCATGCGCAACATACCACCGAAGCACGCCTGGCTGGGACCTTACAAGGACAATTTGTTGGAAGACAATGGAAAGCTGCATGTCGAGTAAAGGAAGCCGTTATACAGTTTTACTGCCATACAAGCTTCTTGAATGCCCAGAGTAGCACTTCAAACATGTCTCGGAGAACCGCATGCATGCCAGTCTCACCGTTTAGAGTCAGCATTGCAGAGGTGTTGTCCAATTTGCGACAAGCCGGTGCCGGCCTTGTTTGCAACCAAAACGCATCACAACACCAATATCATGCAAGTCGTAAGTTTGATTTGAAAACGCTCGGAGGAACGGGATTTACATTGGTGCACGTGTTTTGCTGGTCTAGGCACCGATCCACCAACTTAGATTGGATGCTTTTGCCCAGCACCCTTCTCAGATTGATGTGAACAAAGTACTTTGGACACTATTCATGTACTTTCAGATACTTTCAGTATACTCTATTGTCCTCGCACATTCCTAAGCAGCTGTTTTTTTTTTGCGACAGCAACTGTGGGGCTATTTTGGCGGCATGTCAGTTCTATCACGTCCGAGGTCTGTCATCGACAGCACGGCATCCAATGTCACGGAAGTCCTTGTGGCAGACAATGGAAAGTTCGAGGCAGTGCTGTTCGTGCTGTTCACAGCTCTACGACGGCGAAGTAAGATGCCCTGCATTCAGCAGGTCTCCGCTACCGAAGACGACTTACAGGATTCTTCTGATGAAGAGGCCGACGGAGGGCTGGTGAAAGACCACTTGTCCCTTTTTGATTGAAATACGAAGCAAAGGTGAATCTGTGACATACGGATCCCAATCAGGGCAATTGTAGATGTGCTGCTTGAGAGATGAGTAGTGGCCATCGCAGGCCCCTGGTTTAGTGGGGGGAGAAGATGTTTTTACAGCAATTGTATTTCGGAGATGAGTAGTGGCTCCTGTTTTTTGATGCTCAACTTTTTTCTTTCTGGATTGGCATTCACCGATGCAGAGAATCAGACGTGAGCGGTGGACTGAGGCTCTGAAGGCTGAACAGGCCGCCCAGGCAGCTGCGACGACTACACCAGCAGCGCCTCGAGTTGCAGCCCCACAGCTGTCACAGGCGCAAATCACCAGAGTCAGAGGATTTGAAGGCCCTGAAACACCAAGGAATGGCACTCTAGATCTTGATTTGTCTGGGTGCTGGTATCGCTGCAGGGCACCGCTGCTGTGTGCGCTTGGGAGCTTGGGTGCTGGGGTTTGGGTGCTGGTGCCGGTGCAGGGTGCCCCTTCCGTGTGCGCTGCTGCAGGTCGCCGCTGCTGTGTGCGCTTGGGAGCTTGGGTGCTGGTGCCGCTGCAGGGTGCCGCTGCTGTGTGCGCTAATTATGAACCGCGAGCGAAGAAGCCGCGACAGCCAGAATGCAATGATTCCAATGCTATCTGGGGTCCATGCTGGCGTAATTTTACATATTTCTATGGAACATAGTGGCAATGGATGGACACCTGTTGCCCCACATTGTCCTTATCTCCTTTGCAGATACCCCACTTGCAGATACCCCACTGGTCTCTGAAAGGCTTTGCTGATGCACGTTGTGATTGTGAGACTGTCTTCATGCTAGACTGTGAGTTGGGTCACAGAAGTGGAGGCAGAGTTGCAGCAAGCCGCCTTGAATCTGGGCCGCGCCTTCTCTGTGAGAGCCCCGAGGGCGGTAGATCGGAGGCCATCTCTGGTAGCTTGGAGGCCATTGCCGAGAGCTCCGAGTCGGACTCCGCCACTTCGCACGCGCCCAAGGCTCCCAAGGGGACGCTGACTGCGTCGCCGGCGTCGCCTCCGGAGCAGCCGCCGACGGCCAAAGAGAATCATAAGCCCAAAGAACGGAAAAGGCCGAGAATGGCCATTTCCTTCCAAGATCTTTACTTTCCATTCTATTTACTTCTTTTCCCTCGTTTTGACCGAATGCAGGAGCAGAAGCCCAAAGAGAGCTGGCCAGGCCTGTTGCTTTCCCACGCTTTGTATTGCTCAATTGACTTAGCCATGTTGTAACATGTTAACTATCAACTTGGCATGCACTTTGCATTGGCTAATACCGAGGAGTCTCCCCCGCAGGAAGAGCCCGTTGCCGGCAGCTCAGCAGGTTGAAGTCACATTGTCGATTGTCGATTGTCGATGATGATGATGATGATGATGATGATGATGATGAGGATCCAGCCCTTTCTTGTGGACAGCTAGATGCCGGTCATTACCTTTCATACTCACTGGTTCTTCCATGTTCTTCCTGTTGACCTTCAGGACAAAATGAGAGCATGGAAGGTCTTGCAGGGGCTGGAAAAGCTAGTGCCCAAGGATGCTCTACTCCAAACGTGGTCACAACCCAAAGCACTGCAAGCTCTTGCAGTGTAAGTTCCCTTGCAAGTCAACAAGGCCTCCGGAAAAGCCGAAGCCTCCTCCTCCAGAAGAAAAACCAGAGCCAGAGGAGACTCGCATCGGCTGGCTGCCAGAAAAGATCTCAGCCAGGAATGCATGGGTGAAGATAAAGGAAGGTTCAGAATGAAGATCCGGCGATTTTGTAGGCTAGCACTGACAGACATGTTAGCTGCAGTATTTTTTTATGTTGACCAAGGATGGTGCATCCTGCTCGCTATGCTCAAAGTCGATGCCTTGATTTGCACATTTCTTGAAATACAATACAGCCAGTTAAGATTTGGACCTGCTAAGGAGTGTGGTCGAGAAGGGCGGAGTGTACTGCGGTCGGAAAAGAGCTCCAAAAGACTTTGGAGGCTGCTTCGAGGCGCGGAGAAGTTGAGAATTGGGGCCTCATGCTCACAGGTACCTTTGAGCCCTTCCAGACGTGTACCAAACTGCTGACAGCTGCTGACAGCTGCTGAGTTCGAGCTGATGAGGCGATTTGTTGGAAGTGCATGAACAAGCAACGTGCTGAAGCCTTAGTTCCAACAGAACTCTAGATATCCATATGACCTCATGGTCATCGGTGTACAACAAGGGAATGTGATTGGGAGGACAAGATCGGCAAGATCAAGACCACAAAAAATGAGTTCAGCACTCTTGGCCCTGATGCTTGGTGGATGCACGAGAAGTGCATGAAGCCAGAGGCCCCAAGTGAATGAATTGTTCGATCATGTTCGATCCATGTTTGATCATTTTGACGAGTTGAAGGTGTCAACTTGCCGGAACCTGAGCCAACTGTGTTTTCTGAGCCAGGACCAAAAAGAGTACTTCAGAGAGGACGAGGAAGAGGAGCAAAACTTTTGCAATTTGTGATAGCTAATGAGGGGGTGAGCCTCGCACTGTAGATGGAATCTGGAAGGAACTGGAGGAAGAAGCAAAGCCCAAGAGACCCAAGAAGAAGTTCAAGGAGGAGCAGGGGAGAAGAAACCGTTTCTGTTCGTTTCTGTAAGTTCATTGTGCGTCACAATGCTGGCCTTTGAAACATCTCATATTCGCAAGCAGCATTGGCCAAGTCCTTACTTTTCAGAAATCTGGCTCAAGCCGTGATTGTACCTAGGAACAAGAAGCTACTAGGGGCTCCTGGCCTTACTACTAGGAGCAAGGACGCTACGAACGGGGCTCTTGGCATCGCTACGAACGGAGCGATCGGACGCTCTCGCACAGAAAATCATCCAAGTCCCACTCGACACACTGAGTAAGGAAAGCCACATTTTGTTATGCCCTAGGTTGATTTGATTTACTTGGTCAACTCGAGGCTTTAGTTGATTGAGTTGTCGTTTCTTTTCACTGACCCTTCAATCACCACATTATCCTATCTCATCCTATGACACTTGCCATCCCCAAGCACCATGCGCTTGCCTTCTCCGACTCGAGTCAGAGGGCTTCTGCGCTGTCGCTGCCTCGGAATGGGTCAGTAAGAGCCCTCTTCTCAGTAAAATCCTAAAGTCCTGACGCTCCTGACAGGTCTGGATGCTGCCTTCTTTGTAGCTTCCTTCGAGGAGGTGTGCCAAGAGACTTTATCATACTATTATATATGATATATGTATTACATATATACATTACATATTATCTCATCATATCTCTTCATGTCGAGTTGTGCATATGTTTGCCCTTTCGAGGAAGGGTACTACACTGTGGGAGATTTGAGAGAAGATGGACAAGAGGCCATGCGGGCCATGCGCATGTCTTTTGCATTGGCTACTTGGTTCAGTTTTAATTGAGCAGAGCTGGACCTGAATTGATTTCATTGATTTTCCGACGAAATAGCTTTGTTTGACACTGTCAAACAAAGGTGTCCCTTGGCTGCCATAACCATAGTCTGTCCGAACACATTGCTGTCCATTGAAACCTGCGACACAGCGACAGAATTCGTGCAGGTGGTGTCGGAATTTGTGACAGCTTTGAGCATGCCTCGTGGGACTGATGAGCGCTTTCTGCGGCTTTCCTTTGAGGTGCACATCGGCTAAATCTTGGATCTATATAAGTGGCACGAAAGGTCCAAAGACTTGGGGAGGAAGTCACACAGAGTCTAACAGGCTGTCCTTGACACAGCTTCATAATATATTCTCCCCTTGTTTGCCTAAACTACTCAAGAGTTGTCTGAATTGCTGTCCATTGCTGTTGATAGACATCACAGGACGGCGAGAATGAGCAAGAGCCTCCGGAGGAGCCGAGTTGAACGACAAGATGTCAGAACGACGAGCCGAGTTGACATAATAGCGATGCCCTCCAACCTAACATGTCGGGGACGAGATGATTGTTCGCAGCAGTTTTGAGCCGCAGGACCCAGCGAGTCCAGTTGCACGATTGGGCACCATGGATCCTTCCTGGCTGGAGATTATTGCACCTCTCTATTCCATGCACATGGGTGCCTGTGCTAAAGTCTTGAATCCAACCCCAGGTCTAGCCCCTGTGCTGGCCACGGTAGCCAGGGAACCAGAAAAGGAAGAACCGGTTTTTGCATATGTTTTCTTTCGGGGGATGTGAGGTTGTGAGAACATGGGTCCGCTCCTTTACAGCCTCGTCCGCTTTGTGAAGCCATCCCACTGTCTTGAGATCGGTGCAGGCCGGGTCGATGCTTCGGTCCCGTCCCAATCCGGTCGATTCGGTGCTCGGTGCAGGGTACACCTCAGCCTTTTTGCTCCAGGCTTTGGAGGTTGGAACATCTTGCGGGGGCACGGGCTTGGGGATTGGGTTTGGGAGGGAGAGCGAAAGTCCTAAGATGAACTTGGCTATACATTGAGGGAGCACTCGCACTGGGGAGTTGGAGCCAAAGCTACAATTCATGACACGCACTTTCGTAGGAAGCTAACCAGGTGTTGAGACATCCAACCAACAGCAACCAATGTAGCGCCTTCCTGACAAGAGCCCCACATTTTCTAACAGGATGATGAATGATGGTGGGAATCGACTGGCAGGACAACCAACGCGAGTTGCAGTTTTGGGAAGACTGGCGTGGCCGTGAAGCTGGTCCACAAAGCTGGCTAGTCAGTGCATTGGCGAGATGACATGAGAGCTAGCCTCCTTTTGTGTGCAAAACTTGCCACCTTTCAAGTCGTCAAGCTCCTGCTTTTGTCCAAATCCAGCCTTTCTGTGTGTTGTAAGGTGAACTGGCTGAGAAAACTGGCGAGGAAGGCACGCAAAGGGAGCATCACAAATCTAGGGTTGCCATTGCCCATTGATACTAGTAGCGTCCTCTTGTTACTAGTAGTAAGGCCAGCAGCCACTAGTAGGGTCCTTGCTCCTAGTAGCCATGCCCTTTGTTACTAGTAGCGATGCCCTTGCTCCTAGGAGACTTCTTCTTCGCATCCACTCTCTCAGTCCTGAAAGTTCGCTCTTCCGGAGGCTCCTTGCACTGCGTGGACAACTTTGCTCACGAGCACAGCACTGCTCCATTGCTTTCCCAGATTGCGAAGAGACTGCGGCTCCAGCACCGCCTGAGGCGATCTCTCAACCCTTTGAGTAGAGCATTGTGAACACGTTTTAGGCTACTCGTCAACATGCTCCAACACATAGGGTTTCAAACGATGATGGAGGATCTCCAAAGCCTTTCAGCCTTAAAAAGATCCGCAACATTTGTCAACTGCGAATGCCTTTGGGCAGTTGTCAATCTCAAGCTATTAGCCCAAACAAGCTTGCGCCCACCAGCTCGTAGCCATGGTCAGCTACGTACATTTGCTTCAAGCAGCACCTTGGTCTTTTGTCAAATGCGAGAACAATGGTATCGCATCGCTGTTTTTCGAAGCTGATGAAGGCTGAGTGTGGGAGCTGAGGTTACACCGAAAAAGTACGATGTCCGGTTTGAATTCTCGAAGCTGGGAGAAGACGACGGCTTTGCCGGATACTTGAAGGCGGACCTAGAACTAGCGCTCCTTGGCTGAAGTCATGGACAAGGGGGTGCCGGGTTGATGAAATGGAATCCAACAGTAGAAACAAGTAACAGTCATTTTTGATCCAAGGAAACCGTCTCACACAGTGGAACTGCATGCCAAATGCATCGACATACAGTCGGCCTTTGTGAAGCTTCAGTCCGGGCTGACGATCAAGATGACACAAGCTGTGAAACAGGAGCCATGCTGCGGGTGTTTCATGTTCTTTAAGACTCTGTCAAAGTGAAGACTCCGTGCAGCCAAACGGCCTCGTGAAACGCTGGAGGATGCGACTGAGAGTGTGCTTCTGACATTTGAATCTGTCCTATCTGGCAGCATTCTTTTGGAATGCAGCTTCAGTGGCAGCATAAGAGGCCCTCTCAATGGTTTGTACCACTGCGATTTCAATGGTATAGCCGGTGCCTCCACGCACTTCGAGCCGGTCTATGCTCGATATGCGGCTTTGCTTTTTGCCAGTGCCAGATTTTATTGGTTTCACCACAAAGTTGCCAGGGAGATCCGAGAAGAATGTTTTGGGGAGGTTGATGTGAGACCATCAAAGCTTGTTCCTTCTCAGTGATGTGACCCTCATGAATGCCACAGCTCAGGTCTTTCCTTGCATAGATGAACCAGCCGCCAAAGCCTGTTTCAAAATTTCCATCGTTGCCCCAAGCGCACTAACAGCTACTTAGCTACAAGCTATGATGTTTGACTGAGCAATAGACAAATAGATGAAAGTCTGCAAGTAAATGAGCACAAGAAGTCACTGACAGAATGCAGAAGCCACTCAGACATGAAGGTGGTTCTGACTAGCGGAGGTCAACCTATTGACCGCCTGAGGTTGTGTCTAACATGCCACAAGAAAGCTCGAGGGTTCTGAGCGATGGCGTCACCGAGCACGTATTTGTGCCTTAGATTTAACAGTTAAATTAACAGTTTTCCATCAGCCCAACAGTCTAGGACACAAGCATACTTCTCCGTCTTCGATCTTGATTAATTTGCAATATCATGCAAATCTAAATAGAGTCACATTCTTTGTCATGATTTTTGTCTTTCCATGGCTCCAAATCCTACCTTTACATGGAACGAGTGTCAGTGTCAGGCTGAGACGCCTCGGATGTCATCCTATTTGCTCGGCTTCGCGATCGGAGACTTCTCGGTGATCCACGAGCCAGGCAACTCTCCGGTTCCCATGGCCCTTTATGCTCCCAGAGGGAAGGCCAGAAGCGGTACGTGCGCTAACAGCTAGACACGATGAGGTACGTATATGCGCTGTTGCTTGATTTCTCGCGAGCTGTTTCTGAGGAAATCACTGGAAGTTATCCTCTCACAAAAGGGCATTTGTTTGCTTTCTGTGTAACTGCTCACATGTGATGTGCTGCATATCTTTGCATGATTGCTTTTTGAATCGTGAACTTGATGTTGATATGTTGTTTGACATTGTGTGATGTGTACTTTTGGCCTCCCAAGTGAGAAATTGTGATCTATGCAGGAGAAGATGGGCCAGTTTGCTTTGGAGATTGCCGCGTACAGCCTTGCCTTTTTCGAAAAGTTTTTTGACCAGAAGTTTCCATTGCCGCAACTAGGATGCAAAAGCCTCAAAATGCCTCAAATCATCTTGTGCTCCCAAGATACGAGCTGGATGCTGAAGTGTCCTGTTCGGATGGTGACTGTGGTGCTCAGGAAACTGGACTTGGTTGTCCCACCTGCCTTTCCGATTGGAGGTATGGAATCATGGCGAAATTTCGCTCGACCATCAGTCAGTGTAAATTTTTGTTGGTGGTCTCAGTTTTGAACACTTCACGTTAGTTTGTCTTTTTCCTCACCTGTGAACCAAGGAGAACTGGGGGATCATCACTCTCACAGATCGAAGCTTGATAGATGAGACTGCATCCTTGCAAAAACGACAAGGGGTTGCACCTGGGCGATACCGAGTCCTTTGTTTTGATTGTTGGTGTGTTCTCAGTAGCTCAGCAGCCTTCTAGCGTGTGCAGGCTTCCTGCTGCTATGATACAGCACCATAATACACTCACCTCTTTAATTGTCAGTGATGTAAGTCTGTATCGCTTCAGCACCGCCCTTTTACACACACACGGTTGCTCGGTTGCATATAGAAACAGCATCGATCCTGAAAAGTTCTTTTCAGCGAAGAAATCCATGCGAGTTACGTGGCAAGCTGAGGCATCATTGGTGGCACATGAGGTTTCGCACATGTGGTTTGGTGATTTGGTCACACCTGCCTGGTGGGATGATTTGTGGCTCAAAGAAGGCTTCGCATCATGGGTGAACCTTCTGCCATTGGACGTGCAACACTTAGAGATGAGCGCACCGTCCCAACCTATTTGAGCAACAGTCTGTTTTGCGAAACCGTATTTGCTATCGAGAGAATGCCCGCTGGGATGAGGCAAAATTCCCAGAATGGCGTGTGTGGGACAGCTGGATTTTGTCACTCCTTTATGGTGGCAAGAAATCTGGAGCGCTTGAGGTTGACCAGTACAAAGCCACTCATCCGATCGAGGTGGCAGTGAACCATCCCGACGAGGTGCAAGAGATTTTTGACGAATTGAGCTACAACAAAGGCTCCGCCGTGGTGAACATGCTCTACCATTCTCTAGGACATGACACCTTCAGAAAAGGACTTTCTGATTGGCTTGAGAAATGCAAGATGCTCGGATTGGATCCATTTTCCATTTAGATGCTCTGATGAGACATTGGTTTTGCAAAGAATGTGATATATAAATCTATATTAAGTTATAGTGTCGTGAGTCACGAATGACAAATACTTAAAGAGTAGCCTTCTGTTAGTGTGGAATGTCCCAACATCTATCCGAGCTATAGATTCATTGCCTTTGAGAGGAATTCAACTTTGTCTGAGGAATGGCAATTCCACGACCAATGAGCTTTGGGCCTGCCTAGAGAAAGCTTCCGGACAGCCTGTGGCAGAGATCCCCGGTGAATGCAGGGACATGAGAAGCACAAGTTGTTTGAGTGAACAAGATGTTTATTGTTTGAGTCAAAGTTGAGGGGCTTGCCAGGGATGGGCAGATCAATTTGGGAGTAAGTAGTGCTTTTTGGGAACAGCAGCTATGGCCTTGCAAATTCTCTTGTTTAATAGCCTAGCTTCTATTTTGCATTTGTCCGCCCAGTGTGACAAGGATGATGTCCAGCTGGACGAAGAACTGTGGTTTCCCAGTGCTGGAGGTCAACTTGAGTGCCTCTCTGCAGTGTAGCGGTTGTTTGCCGACCCGAGCTGCTCATGAGCGCTACTGCAGTAGTTTTCAAACTCGACATGCGAAGGCAGCATTTTGGATTCAACCTAGGTGTGTGTGGCGATATTTGGGAAGTTACACAGCGGAGATTCTCTTTGCATGATTCACATCATTGTCTGCATGCACAAGATGAAAACGGAAAGCAGGCGTTTGGCCTCAATGGCTTGCAGCAAAACTGTGACAGTTTTGACAGAAACAACAAACGCACTGCATTTTTGGCCCACATCGATTACGAGGAGAAGCGTGTGAAGCTCAACCCATGGACGGTTCCAATTTGCATCCAGCACGATGGCTCTCAGAGCACGGAACGTACGACCTTCTCCGAGACTCGCACCACAATTCCACGTAAAGGAGCGGGTCGAAGACATGTCAAACAACAAGAGAGACACAATTGGTTGTCATGCCCAAGCAGGACTAGCCATTTCTAATCATTGGCTTATGAACATATTGGAGGTCAACAACGGGCTTGAGCGGTGCATACAATGCAGGACGATGGATTAAAGTCAACTCTGGCATCCGCACACCACTGCGCGTTTGCTATGCGCCGGAATTGCTCAAGGTGATCGTCAAATCCGGTAGCTTTCTTGAATGGAAATCAGGATTTTAAGATATTTGAATGAGCAACATTTCTGAATTGAGCGAGGTTCTGCCCTGCAGCCGACCGATCGTGTGGGGCTTGTGAATGACACTTTCGCCATGATGCGAGCTGGTCTCTCCCTCAGTGCTTTCTGAGTAACTTGGATGATTGCTGATAGAGCTGGTAACTTCTCACTGGCAAGTGTTGATCTTGAGGCATGGTCGAACCTGCGACGCTCTTATCATTATGCGAATCTCTCTTGCCCAGTGAGAAAGATCCGATGGCTTGGGTCGGCCACATTGGCATTCTTCGCAAGGTGGAGTAGATCCGATTGCGTCGGCCAGTCGGGTAGTTCGCTGGGAAGTTCTGAGGTTCGTCCAGTTAGGAACCCCCTTCAAACGCGAGAACTCTTGTCCAGGCTTTAACCAACCAGACAGCCAGACCTTGCAAATGGCAATTGAATTGGCAATGTTCAGCTGTTGGGGACTAGACTAGCATCAGTTTATTCCAAAAGGTACAGAACCGAAAGGTGGACAAGCAGGCAGATGCAGGCTTTTACATTTTGTGGCTTGATGATCTTCATGAACAGGAAATGACATGCATGGCACACCAAAGGCTTATGAATGCCAACCGTGCAGGCCCTTACCGTCTTCGAGGACTCCTTCGACAAGGACGAGGCGCCAGAGTTGCCAAGGTTTCTCATACATTTGGTGGTACCTTTGAAGGACCGTGGGGAAATGGCCGTGGGGTCAGTCAGTACAAGCATGTACAACCTCACAGAAATTGGTAGGCTGGCAATGGCTGGCAAAGTTTCTTTTTGGATCATTTGGATCAGTCAAATGTCAAGACATGCTTCGACCTGCGACATCCTTCATCCCAGACGTCGAAGACAGGACCGGCTCGGCTGGGAAGAGCCGGCGCAAGAGGATGCCTGGGACTCGCTTCTGAGACCAGAGGTGCCAAGATCTGAGACACTCATTTGTGTATTATGTTGTTGCAGCTTCAAGCTTCATCCCGCTTCCTTTTCTAATGTTTTCTATAAAGACTCAGCAAAAATACACATCACAAGAATTCATAACACTTCAAGCGCGTTTTTGGGAAGAGACGCACCGCCGTATCACGGATCGCAGGTGCTGAGCCTTTTGGCTGCGTGCCAGGCATGGCACGGGTGGGCTTCTCGGTGGGTATGGGCGGTTCACATCAAGATCATCAAGACTGGTGAGGTCTTCTAAACAAAACAACACCTCCCATACCCCCAGCATGGTGGGTTCACTCCATTCTCGGCCCTCATGGAGGCGTTTTTGTTTCGCAGGAGCCCATGGTGTGCAAGGAGTCCATCCAACGGGCTGAAACCTATTTGTGTGCTCAGCATCCGGCACCAAAGAAGTCTTCCATCAACTTGAAGGCGGCCTTTGAATCTGCTTGTTCTATTTGTGGGGGTCGCGAGCTGAGAATTTGAGTCCTTATCCTCTTCGATGTCCTTTCAATGCCTGAACCAACTCGCAGATCTGAACGCCTGAGGTCTGGAGATCCCCAACTCAGCAGTTCGAGGCGTAGCGCTGAAAGTGGGCCTTTCCAACAAAGGTGCGCTTTGGAAGCCCATGTGCGAGCGCCTGAAAGTGGCCAGCAACACCGAAGAACGAGATCAGCTGTTGGTCGCCATGATGGGCCACAGTGATAGGATGGTGCTGGAAAACTGGGTGGCATCCGCCATTCAGGGACAGCTGCCTAGCCAAGAATGGGGGACTATGTTTGCAGGTTTGGCTGGCAACAGACATCACAAAAGACTTGCCTGGAATATGCTCACAAGACACTGGGATGCAGTGTACAAAGTCTGGGGCCAGTCCCAGTTCAAGATGAAGGCAATCATTGCTTCTGCAATGGTAAAAGCCGATCCAGACGAAGTGGAGCTGTTCTTCGATAGCCATCCATGTCACCTGGAGCCTGTTTGCTTCCAAGTAAAGCGAATAAAGGCATGCCACCATCACCGGGTTGCTATGTTGATTAACTCTATATTCTATAGTCCTTCCTTCCGACTTCCTACTTACAAGAATGCATCATAGACCATAGACTTACAAAGGCTTTAGATCTTTGTACTTACTACGATTGACAATAAGGTTGCTTTTTCTAGTAAGTCCTTTGTTCACTCGTTGCCGACTTGTCGTCGACAGTGACTGGGACTGGACCGAGGTGAAATGGCAAAGAGAACCATCCAGCAAGGTCTTGAGGGCCTGGCTGCTGATGCATTCTTAAGTGCCAAAGCGAAAGACCTGCACAACTACTTCCAATCCGAAGCCCAGATGCACACGGACATACGAGAAATCTCATGTCCACCATTTGATAGGACATGTCTTCTCGTCCATTGCTGAAAGATACTTTTTTTTCACATTTTGGGGCCAGTGCCGCAACCTTGAGTTTTGCGCATCTGAGGGCATGGCAGTCCTGTGAAGGCCTTTCTGTGTCTAGATGGGCGTAGAAATGATCGGAACTTTTATTATCACCTGTGAACTCTTGTTTGCCGGAGATGCAGACTGGAAATGGTTCTATCATGTTCTAAGCTTTTCGCACATGAGCAGAGTGTTGTTCAACTTCTCCGTTGCCAAGCCATTCACATTACACCGACTTCACTTTGAACATTTGCTGGTTTCAATTCTGGCTATGTTAGGATGCTGTGCAAGTGCACAAACGTCTCAATTGTTGCTTCACAGCCCCGCAGCTCGATTTCACATGACAACAAGAGTATGCGACCATGTGCGGCGAACAACCGTTCACAATGACACTCTTGCTATTGTTCGGCCAACAGTCTCCGAACACACGCAATTTGTGCAAGTGTAAAGCCGTGCAATTGTACAGTCGGGTCCTTGCTTGGAGTATGCAGCTCGAAAACGCATCCGACATGAACAAAACAGGCTTGCTAAGACTTACTAAGTACGCCTTGCGTTCTGACTTTTGTAAGCTGCATGGATGGAACACTTGTAGTGCCACAGCCGAAGGTTCTGTCCAGTCCAGCTGACAAGGTTTCACTGTCCCAAATGAACCTGAAAGGCTCCATCTTGATGATGCCAGAGCGTTTGTCGAGGAAGCAGACATGGCCCAGAGCTTCGACTTTGTTTGGCTGGACTGTGGGCCAATGGATTTTGGGAGTGATTTAAAGCTTAATCTCTTGTTTTCTTATGTCATATATCACCCTTAAAGAATGACGCTGTCAGAGGTTTTGTTGTTTTTTTTGGCCTACTCGATTCTCAAAGTGAGAGCCAGCGCTGAATGCCCCACCCAAAAAAATTGCTGCTGCATGTCATACAAGATCCTACCCATACACAGATCCTTACCGGATTAAATGACCAGGATGACCAGGCAAGCGAAACTTGCATTCTTCAAAAGACATTAGCGTTATGTTTGCCAAACCCCTTTATATATTCTGGAAGTTGTTCATCTTGAAAAAAACCAACAACAAAGCAAAACACGACATCACAAAATGTAGCCAGAAAAACAAAAGCAATCATGAAAGCAAAAAAGAACCAAGCAGAATTGCAAGCAAAAATGGAACAACACAGCATGTTTGTAACAAACAAGAGAGTACCTTGCAACAAACAGCGTGACAACCAGTTGAAAAAAAACAGTTATATACCTGGTAATTATTACTTACAAAGCAAAGCCAAGAAAGAACAAACACATCAATAATAACCAAACTACTACGTGGTGACTGCGGAAGTAGCAGGTAGCAATACACTTTCACTGCTGAGTGTGGTTTTTGTGCTTTGAGGCACTGACTGTTGCACACCGGCTTGTCTCAAGCGGGGTGGGGCGCCAATGATCAATTTGAGGGACCACTAGAGTCCTACGAAGGATGTCCTCCCAGAAAAGACAAGACCAGCAAACCTAAATCTGACTACTGGTACTGGTACTGCTACTGTATCTGTGAGTGACTGGGTGACCATTCTGCCCTCAGCCGGGCATTTTTGTTGGTGGCGGCACTTTCTGGGCAATTTTTAGTGCTTTTTTTGTCCATTTGTTTTTGGGCAAAAGAAGCGCAAAAAAGCGAAACACATGCGGAAAAAAAAGCCAAAAGTGAGACAGTTGACCCGGCACCAGAAAGATGAAAGACATTGAAAGACCCTTGACCCTTGGCCCTTCTTCCTCACCCAGTACTAACCCTACCCGGCCCCCTCGCCAAGCTGGGTTCCAACGCGTTGAATTCCGAATCAGCAGATAGTCTGTAGAGGTCCTTGCTAGTGACTAGTGGTGCGGGTAGTAAGAACAAACTAAAAAACACAAGCAACAACCAAGTGCAAGAAAAGAGTGACCAAGAAAGCAACAGAAACTGTAAAAAACACTTAAATCAATCTTTACATGGCCAAACCAAAAGGTCAATAGAGGCAATGGCAGAAAAGAAGGGAAAAACACAACACATAAAGTACCAGGTACATGATGTGTGCCTAAAAGCGGGTGGTTCTTCGACTACCACTACCGCTACTACTACCACCACCACGTTTTCCACGTGCAGCCAGTGCTGAGCATTGACCGGTGGGCTGACCACAAGATTCTTGTTTACACGCTGCCCGAACACTTCGATCTCTGCAATGGAGAGAACTTGTTACACGAATTAGCTTTGCAGCATTCTCACTCAAGGTGCCTAAACGTGCCTACATGGCATGGTCTCCTTTTTGCAGATTCCTTGATAAGCAGCAATCCGCTTATGATTTCAAACAGGTTCAAAGATTGAAGTGCAAATTAAACCCATTCTCTAATTATGCTACTTGCCCAAATCGCTTGCTCTTGGGCCAGCTGAAACGCGATCTAAACTCTCCCCACCAGGGCTCAGTTCTGACGCCAAGCAACCGAAACCCAGAAAGGTTACCAAGGAGCACGCTCAGACGGCCTGCTGCCTCGACATGAAAGGCAGCAATCTTCTCATACCTTAGGATTGAATTCCACTGTCACTCCCTGACTCCCTGCCTCGCCTTTTCGTTTGATGGCGTTGATTTCAGGGCCTTTCCGTACATAGTCCTTCGGGCCATCGCGGCATCCAAGCCGAATCCATGCCTGTCACAGACAGCTCCTCACGGGTGTTCCCACTATTCCATCAAGTGCCACAAGGGTAGCGATCAGCAATAGGTCAGTAGATGTCAGTAGCACTTCACCGTCGACAGGGCAGAAGTGAAAAGCGAAGCATCTTACTTGGAGGCCACCCTTGCGGTGGCCAGGGGAGAAGGTTGCAGGCCCTCATTTGTCAGCAATTGAGACATCCATGCAGTGCAGATCCGTGCAGGTTTAGGCTGCAACTGGGTGTTTGCAATCTTCACCAACATGTCCGGAGTATTGATGAGTAATGTGGACATTATTATTGGTTTGGAGACCATTCGGAGGCAGAGTTCTTAGACCAACTTTTGCAGGATGGGCTTTTGGACTTCGCGCCGCCCAAGAAAGGCGATGTGCGAGCTTGGCTTCACAGCATCGGATGATGTCGATCTCACCCAGGTGTCCTTTGGATTTTACCGGGTCAAGACACGTAATTAGTCTTCGGTGCATTTCATTTTCGGTTTGGATTGTAAGGTTCCTGAGAGATATTTTGCATCAGCAGATTGCATTGCATCACAGTGTGTGCTTCTAAGGCTAGCATCGACAGCTTTCTTTCCTTGCTATGGCCGCACTTGGCACCTGGTGCTCTGATACTGTATCTCGGCTCCCGTGTGAGATGAGGCAGACAGTGATACATTCCATGATTCCATGAAGCAAGCAAAGAACCATTCCGGGCATTCGTAGTTCCTTGCATGTAACAAGAGACCTACAGCCGAAGTGAGGCTTCACAGTACTTTGACCAATTCATCTGTTCGTGGATGGCTGGAGAATGTGCTAGACTCAGTTTGGTTACGAGTTGTTTCGATGCTTCAGCCGTTCTGAGCAGATTCTATCACTTCAGACGTGTTGGGTTGGCCATTCGTCGTGTTTTCCTGCAGATGTTGCTTAGATCTCGGCCTCTCCCTGGGGTCCTCCCAACAATGTACTGAGCTTGCTGGAGCTCCTTGGATGATATATGTGGACAATTGCGGATACAAGTGGACTAAAAAAGTGGAGTGTGAATGACTGACCTTGAGCATTTAATGAAGATATCATTTTGTCCGGAGTGCGCAAAAAAGCACGACGCCGGGGCGCTTGTCATGTGTCGCTCAGTCCAGGGAGCTTGTTGTGTGTGGGAGTGCTTTCGGCTTTCTTCTCGCTCGAGGCCGCACAAGAAATTCCAGAACTCAGTGACCATTTTGCAGCACAGGTGCCGATTTAGACGCAATGTCGGATCACACAATCACCGGGTCACATACATGTAGTACTCCTCCCAAAAATGTATATAACCTCGCAGTCCAGATTTCATTCCCAGGTAAATGACTTTATACTCTTTTTGTGGCTTGGTCGGTTTGATGATATGATGATTCTTATGGATCTCCCCCGCCCCCCTTCCATACATTTCCTTGACAAAAGTATGCTTCCTGAGGGCGGTTTCTCCTCCCTTGCTTTCATACGTTATTAGGAAGATCAACTTCCTGAGATTTCCTGAGAATGGCCACTATGATATCCCAAGAATAGTTCAACCGTTCAACCCCATGGCTTCATACAATTTGTACCAAGGCTCCTGGAGTTTCCTGGGATAGGCTTCCCTCCAGCCATACCAAGCAACCAGGGCCATGCGCGATCTCCGCAAATTCATCGAGCTCAGACGATTTCTTCGCCTTTCGCCTCACGTTTGTGCGTTCGCAAGCTTTGCCGATAGCACGGTCAAGTGATGTTCCCTAAAGGTGTGCTGAAGGTATGCTTCCTGGGAGCGATTGCCCCATGGCTTGCGTACAATTCCTGCTGGTGACAACCCCAAACCTTGCATAAAAAGGACAGAAAGGAACATATATATATATATATATACGAAAGCCAGCCGGTAGGCAAGGCTTGAGTTCTTAGGGTGAACGAAGTGAATATTGAGGGTGTGGGGGGGGGGGGTGGTCCCACTCGGGCAGATTTTGGAGGTCGAACCCTGAGCCTGGTGGGGGAGAGCGAAAAAAAGTAGGGTCAGGAAAGCATCAAAAAGACATAAAAAAAAGCGGTTCGGTGATGCAAGTGATGTAAATGACGCCGAGTAGTGCATCATTAGCATCACGAAGGGTCTGGAGACCATTTTTCTTTGCTTTCTGGAGCACCATTAGCAGAAAGGTCAGGTAGAACGTCAGAAGGCTTGCTAGAGAAATGTCAGAAGCTTTGCCAGATAAAATGTCAGAAGATAGTCCTGGTGGGGATCATTCGAATTGGGGATCACTCGACATGTCAGAAGCTACTCATGATGGGGATCACTCGAAATAAGTCCGTGAATTTTTTGTAGAGCTTTCTTCTTGTACTTTGATCTTTGAGAAAGAGCACCCGACGACCAAAAGAGTCGAAAGGGTTGGACACCACGGGGGGAGCCCATGCACGACTAACCGCCCCCAGAAGAGAATGTCAGAGGATTAGCCAGATAAGCTGTCAGAAGATAGTCATGGTGGGGACCACCGGAAATGTCAGCAGATAGTCATGGTGGGGAGCACTCGAAATAACTAAGTGATTTTTTTTCTGTGGCCATCATTAGCAGAAAGGCCAAGTAGAATGTCAGAAGATAACATGTCAGAAGATTTGCCAGAAAACATGCCACAAGATATGCCAGAATGTCAGACGATTTGCCAGATAAGCTGTCAGAAGATAGTCATGGTGGGGATCACTGGAAATGTCAGAAGATGGTCATGATGGGATTCACTCGAAATAACTAAGTGATTTTTTTCTGTGAGCCATCCTCGAGACGTCACATTGCCAAGGGGTTCTCCAGGACGGCCCGTGAGGAAAAGTCGGACAGCATGTTGCTTTCTATGGCCTGATACAGCGACGACGGATCTTCGACCAGCTTGCGCTTCAGCATCTTCAGAGCGTAGCTCTTTTTGGATGCCACCGACCCAGAACCGTCTGCCACGTCGTGGCTGCCACTGGTATCCAGCAAAAACTCTAAGGGATCTCTCTTCTTCTTATGGGACTGCTTCGCTAACTGGCTGCAGATCTTCGTCGACTTCACTGCAGCCTCGGCCACCCCGTTTGAAAGCAAGGCGGCAACTTCTTCGAGATGGGCCTCTGGGACGCCAGATTGCAGAGCCGAGCGAACAACACCTGGGTCCAAGCCGCTGAATTTCACACGCCGCTTCGGAGCGGCGGCTGCTGAGGCGGATGCAGCTGCGGTTTCTGCAGGCTCTCTCCCTTCTCTCAAGGCCGGAGGCCGATGGGCAACAAGCAAGGTCTTTAAACTCGACTGGATGTCCGCAAGAGCATGTTCTAGCTTTTCCACCCGACTGTCCAGCCACACGGCTTCTCCAGCAAATCGGTCTCGGCAGACACGAACTGATACTTCTCCACTGCAACTTCTACCAAACTGGCAGGAAAGGGAAGGAAAGGATCTCCACTGTCCGCAAGGAAACCATAGTCGGCAGGGGTGACTTCTCCTCCTCCAAAAGCAAATGTCTCCTCGAGCTCTCGGTTCAAGAGCCCGAGCCAAATTCTCTGGTTGAATTCCTCCCCAAGGGCCACATCTCGTTCCCTGGAGTGCGTGCTATGACGGACAAAAGAAGAGGTTTCCCGAGAGCTTTGGCTGGCAAAAGGCGATTGTTCACTTTCCGATGCCAGACTTCAAAAGGCACTGCACAAAGATAGGAACCCTAGCAGAAAGGCCAAGTAGAATGTCAGAAGATAACATGTCAGAAGATTTGCCAGAAAACATGCCACAAGATATGCCAGAATGTCAGACGATTTGCCAGATAAGCTGTCAGAAGGTAGTCATGGTGGGGATCACTGGAAATGTCAGAAGATGGTCATGATGGGGATCACTCGAAATAACTAAGTGATATTTTTCTTCTGTGGCCATGTGTGGAAGACTTCAACACGATGCCCGAAATATCGCCGATCACCGCGAAAAACACATATTTCGGGCATCGCTGTTTTTGTCGTGTTGGCTCACGTATTGTTACTTCTCAGTTCCTTGCACCTTCACCCGGACAATTGGTGGGGATCATTGGACATGTCAGCAGATAGTCATGGTGGGGATCACTCGAAATAACTAAGTGATTTTTTTCTGTGGCCATCATTAGCAGAATGCTGCGTGTGCGCGATGGCTGCGCGCACACTAAATAAATCCGTGCGCTTTTGCTGGCTTTCGTCCTCTCCTTTCTCAGGTATGTATATATATATATGGTTTAATTGGGGTCCATCTCCACCATGGGTCGAGCCGCCAAGCACTAATTCTCAAAGCCCCAACCCCATCGCAAGCCCTTGTAGTCCCCCCCTCAATCTTCGTAATTTCGGGCCGTGATAGCGTCACTTACAGCGTTGTATACCCCGTGGTGCGTGGAACCTGGACCAGTCTCGTCATTTTTTTTTGCTGGATTTTTGTTGACCCTGCCCCCCCTGTTCATACAATGGACTTGTAGACACCTGTGTTTATTCCACCCCCCTTTGTAGAGTTAGACCCAGTGATTTCAAATATCTCCAATGTTAATTTTTGAGCAATTACTTGCTTCATCTACTATGAATCAATTGGGACGATGACTGCCAGACATAATGTGGCTTGCTCCAAGCTAAGCTCCAGGCCGGATGGATATGCTGAACCAATCTACTCCAAGCTCCCCTGATTGTGGCTTTGAAGAAAGGCTGTGCCGGCCAAGCGACAAAAGACGCTAAAAAAGTGGCCTGCATATTCTTGGGCACCAGTGAGGTAAAGCGACAACTGCTGTACCAAACCTGCTTGACCTGGCAGGACAATGGCGACAAATTTGCGTGGGAGTGAGCACATGCCCGGTGAAAGCAGCCGGCTGGAAAGCAAGGAAGCTGACAGCGTGCAGAGATACTTTCTTGAACACTCACTAGAGATCATTATATAGAGGCGATTAAGAAACGATCAACTAGACTAGGACTCTGGTTTCTGATCCACTCTACGTCACCGAGACTTCCCCCAGACCTTCGACGCTCTTCCACTGTACGTCGCCTAGGAGCCGAAGCTTTCGGCGCGAAAGCGAAGCGCTGGCTTCGAAGCTCCCCGAGAGCGCTCCGGGGGAAGAGCGCCGCAAAGCGCAGCAAAGAAAACATAGTATGGCCAGGAGCCCCTAGTAGCGTCCTTGTTCCTAGTAGCGATGCCAGGAGCCCCTAGTAGCGTTCTTGCTCCTAGTAGTAGGGCCAGGAGCCCCTATAAGACTTGTCATCCTTTCTTTTCTCTTTGTTTCTGTTAGCGGCCTCCAACCCACTAGCGATGCCCTCCAACCTAATAGCAAACTATATAAGATGGTTAATGGAAGATACGGTACATTAATTCATTAATACATTGGGCAGTCACCGCCTATAATATGCAAATATATTACAGTATAAGATGCCAATAGAACATCGTACAATACCGTTGATACACATTGTACATGTAACCAGTATTTGGTTTTGTTTAACTTTTTCTCGTTGTGTTACATTGCTATTGACTGTGGAAACAACGATTGTCTGGAGTTAGTTGAACGAATCAGATTCGTTCAGCTTTCCAAGGCTCCAGCCATTGCCCTCTCATCAAGGATCACATCGACCACATCCTTCAGTTAATTTATGTAGGGCTGAACACCAGACAAGCACAAGCAATTGGACTATGCAACAGACCCGAAAATGTGAATGGCTTCCTTGGAAGGCCCGTTTTGTTCGATGGCAAACCTACAGGAACCGGCCAAGGTGCCAAGGCAAAGGTTTTGTTGGGTTTCTGGTCTACGGTTTGGAGGGAGCTGTGTAGACGCCAGCTATCTAGTAGTACATATATGCAGCCACATGGCCCTAAGACGATAGCTATCACGGAAGGGTTCAACGTAGATTGCATGCTGAACAGAGCCTGCCGCAGATGTGGAGCCAGCAGGGCTCTTGGCAATTGGAGTCTTGCCATACCGACCTCAGATATTCTTCATGTTCTGCAGGTTTTGCCTGAGTCGGCTTCCTAGATGTGCAGAATGAACCCCGCTTCTCGGTGATTCTGCATTCCTAGGCAGACGGCAAGCACCCATCCGACAAGCCAGCAGCGATGGCATTGATGTACGCGGCCGTTCGGTCCGCTGCTGAATGGAGCCACGGACGCGGACCGAACTCCGACCTGAAGAATCTGAGGTTCGAAAGAGCGTGTGCCAGGAATCAAGGAGCAAACGCTCAGCAGTAGCTGAGCAAACCTTGAGCTAAGCAGTAGCATTGCAGTCTATTGCATCTATTGCTCTGGTGATTCAGCCAATGTCAGGACGCGCATCATCTCGGAGGTGGAACTTTCTACGGCTACGGAAAACATTTACAATAACTCTCTTCAGCACACCCTGCATGTATAAGACAAACCACATCACTTGTTTTTCAAGACAGACGACCTGCATTTCCTTTTGGAGCACCAAGTAACCACCATGTCCCCAGCCCCAACGACCCAGCTATTTCACAAGCATTACTTCGCCCAATCGATAACTGGGCAAGGGGACCACAGCAGCGCTCACTGTCCCATTTACGCTCAGCCATACTGCCAACTCAGAAGGATTTATAATTGTCGCAAGACATATTGAGACAATGGCGGAAGCCAATCTCATCCCGGCGCTTAAGAAAACACGTGTCGCTCAAAGGATGGACTTCCAACACAGCCAATCAAACCAAGAAACTTTCCAAACCGCCTAAGATCAGAATGATTACCAGCTCTCGCTATGGGGTCATGTCAGCGTGAAATTAGCATTCCTGAGATGACAGACATCTAATCTGATTAACACTGTATGTTCAAGCACGAAGTTCTTGATCTGATGCGACCTGCCTTGATCAAGGTAAAACGCAGTTCAGTGCCAGTATCACACTTTCATGACCCTCGCTTTGCTTCTGTATTTTGGTGTTCTCAAAATGATTCATCAATATTCATCATACATGTACATCTCGAGTCTCAGAAATTACCATGACATATGTATATATATATATTTAATGGGTTGGGTCGCTAGGTGTCACTATGACTTCTGTTGCTGAACTCATTCTCTTACCCCCTTTATACCCGCGATGAATGGGTAGGTAGCAAGGGATATGCGGCTTTTTCAGTGGACCGCTTCGTAAGTCGTGGGACGGTCACATCGGGTTACAGTAGCTGAGGATGGACATGGGCTGGCAATCCAACCAGGGTGGTGGTATCCTGGCAATCCACCTGAACCAGCGATAGCGACCGACATAAGCATTGATGAAGGAAGGCAGGAAGGCAGGAAGAACATCCAGTTGACCCCTTGAAGTGGGCAGTCTATCCACATGTATCCACCTGATCCCTGATGCTCGGAAACATGTTTCAGTTATTTGTCAGCCATCCAAGCTTTGGCCAAGACATAGTTCATGCCGCATTGATGCCTCCTCCAGGCGCTTATGTAGAGGCACAACTAGGTACTACATATTGATTCTCCGGTGTGTAGTAACAAAGGTCATCGCTACGAATGGAGCAAGGACGCTACTAGGGGCTCCTGGCATCGCTACTGGGAGCAGAGATGCTACTAGGGGCTCCTGGCCTTACTACTAGGAGCAAGAAGCTACTAGGAACAAGTGCATCGCTTCTAGGAACAAGTGCCACGCTACTAGGAGCAAGAAGCTACTAGGAGCAAAGGGCATCGCTACGAACGGAGCGATCGGACGCTACTACTGTGTAGGGGTCCCATGTCTCCATCACCACTTGCCAAGCGTCATTCCGATGCTGGGAACCATACGCTTTTCGTTTTTTTTGCTTTTGTTTTAACCTTTTTGCCTGGAACTCTTGAACCCTGAAGACTTCGAACTCTTGAACTCTGGACTTTGCGACTGTGGAACCAGGCTTCCTGACAACGCAGCTCCCTGAAACTCTGGAACGCTAGGACTCAGGAACCGCAAGTTCTTGTTATATATTTTTTTCGTTTTGGAGCCGTCCTTGGATCCCATCAAGCTGCATTGCTTGCCTAGCGGCCTAGCCCTCCTAATAGAATATGTTAGTATTTTCCATTTGGTATCGGGTTGGTGGTGATAAGAGACGGAGCTGCCGCATGGCCCCGCATGGCGGTAAACCTCGTGGCTTTCTTTGTGGTCCAAGATGCTATCTGGGATCTAGGTTGGTGTAATGTCTTGTGCTTTGGGGGGGCACTTAGTTTTGGCAAGTGTTGACCATTCCTCACATCTGTCGGGAAGGAGGTGCAAGTGGCCTTTTCTCTTACGGCTCTTGAGAGCTCATTTTGGATTTGGCAGCTCGGAGGCCGACTTGGAACAGGTGAAGTGGGATGTGAAGAACCGGTCTCCCTGGCGCTGCTTTTCTACACTAGGAACAAGAGGACGCTACTAGGGGCTCCTGACCTTACTACTAGGAGCAAGGACGCTATTAGGGGCTCCTGGCATCGCTACTAGGAACAAGAAGCTACTAGGGTACACGTTGATTCTTGTGGACGCTTTGGCAGGGCTGATTCAGTCGGCGACTCATTGATGGCGCACTGTGCGCGCCAGTCGACGTAGGTCTCGGTGTCTCAGTGACCGGCCAAAGAGGGTCGTTCTCCAGGATGTGACAGATGCTTATCTCAAGATCATTGAAGAAGCGGCACAATGCAGTCATCCTCAGCCTGAGTTGAACACTTTGATCATCAACCAACATGAAAGCTTTGATCTATATTGATCGCTTGTGCCTGGAGCTGAGGCACATTTCCAGAGGAGCAGGGCCTCTCATTCCGTTTCTGCGCGCTGGGATTGGAGTTCAAAAAGATTCAGAAAGACTAAACATATCTAGAGTGATGAAAAACACCTGGAGACCAGTGATGCATCAGGTGGGATGCTCAACTCTTGGTGGACTGTGGGGTAACTGCTGTAGGTGGCCCAGGATCCTTTAGTTTCTGAATATTCTGAATCAACTTATCCTTTAGTTTCTGCATGGCCCTTGCTGAGGAAGGGCAACGATTGGTGATGTTTACTCCAGGTTTTCTCCGGCCGAGTCCTCGCTGTCGCAAGTGTCGAGAGGCAGATCTCCTCCAACTAAGGCCCATCCTGTCTGATGACGATGAGTTGGATAGAGCCTTTCGCTTCATCCTCAAGTCCACACCTTAGGAAATCGGTCCTGAACGTGAAGCGTTCTTGTGGGACAAAAAGACCCCTGGGGGACCACCCTGATCCACGCGTAACAGCCAGTTCCAAGATGCTTCAACTTGTCACCAGTCCCTCATGTCATCTAATGTCCATGCAATGCGCTTTCCTTTGAGGCATATGCACGACATTGCCATGCAGAGCAAGTATGTTTTTGTCTATTGCTGCCTTGGCATGGCCTGGGACTGGGAATGAAAGGGCCTAAAAAGGGCTGTGTCGGTTTACCATTTGTTGCGAAATCCATGCGACATCAAGGACTGGTCCGCACCTGTGCTCGCAGAAAGACTTCAAATAGCTTTTGACATATTGCCATGGGCCTAAGAGTCTTGTGAATGAAGTCAGGCATGTTGCCGGGACCGGACCTTTTGGGCGACTCAGGCCAAGAAAATACACAAAGAACCTGAAGAGCCTCTTCTCAGCACTTGACTATTTAGCAACTTAGCCTTCTTTTCTTGTAGACTAGCTTGTTGTGCTCCACTCCTGCACTCAGGGTTCTACGTTCTGCACGGGAACAATGCGTGCCACTTCCATGTATTGCAGGGACCCGACAGTTGCCAGTTTCTGCCGTCACAGTGTCTGGGCGACCTGGCAGGACCCGTGTGACAATGTGGTCCTATTATGCTCGATCCTATGCATCTTTCACATACAGCTCCCATCAGCAGATTGACAGTAGTAGGAGTAGGAGTAGGAGTAGTAGTAGTAGTAGCAGTAGTAGCAGCAGTAGTAGCAGCAGCAGCAGCAGTAGCAGTAGCAGTAGCAGTAGCAGTAGCAGTAGCAGTAGGAGTAGTAGTAGTAGTAGTAGTAGTAGTAGTAGTAGTAGTAGTAGTAGAGTAGTAATAGTGGTAAGAGTGGAAGTAGAAGTAGTAGTAGTAGTAGTAGTAGTAGTCGTAGTCGTAGTGGTCGTGGTCGTGGTCGTGGTCGTGGTCGTAGTCGTAGTCGTGTTTGTGCTTGTTTGCGGTTTAGATGAGGCTTGGTTGACACCGCAGTTCTGGGAGAAGATCGAGTATGTGAATAGCATTGAGAAGATTTGCGAGGACTGAAAACATGTCGAAGTGTTTTCTTTGCCGCATCGCCTATTTTTTGCCTAACATCGCAGGATCTTTTTCCAAACAATGACGCCCTGCAAGCCGAGTTGCGCAGACGATTTCCACAGGCCCAAATGAATACATAAACAACTTGTGGAGTTGTCACAACTCTGCATGTCTATTCTCAATTATTGTCATACAATTTGAGCAACCGACAAAATCCGAGAAAATTATTGGAAGACTAACAAAGGAGGTGATTTTGCCTTTTGCCTAGACTATCCGGACTTCTGAATAATCGAAAGGGGCCAACGGCAGCCTTTTCATAGAAAAAAGGATTTACCAGGCAAATACCAACTGAACACCAATAAAGGTCAAGCTTGTTTTGGCCGTGGGCGAAGCAAATAATTTTGACAGTGGTAACTGTGGTACTCATTTCGATCCTTCTGGTTGATGAGACGTTCATCAGACCGGGTTGGCCTTCAGATTCTTTTTGCATCCAGACCCAATGGGTCTCAGCATTCTGAAAAAGACGTTTTCTGCTCCTGGCAGGTCATTCAGCGTCAAGATGCTACTTTGAACGGTGATGATCCTCCTGTAAACTTTGGCGCTCCTATTAGGCACATGTCTGTCTTGCTTGCTGAACAATACAACAACTGAGAAGTCCTTGTAAACAACATTTAAGAGAGTCTGTGTGTATTCTGATTGAGACCTGGATTGGCTCATTTCAACAGGCCAGAACTTGCACAGACAGATGGTTTGATGTTGAGGTGAAGAAGTCACAACCACTTTTTTGAGTAGAACAAAGATAGGGTTTAAATCCTCCTGGGATGTAGCATAGAAGCCTCAAAACAATTTGCCTAGTGTGTTCCCCAGACGGCTTGACATGGCGTGACATGGCGCGTGGTAAGAATGGCCCTGCGGGCCAGTCACAACTGCGTGGCTACAAACTGCTGCGGTTGCCAATGGTAGCAGGCTCACCCATTGCAAGGACCGCCTTCCACTTATGCTTTGGCCCGACCGCGCCGGATCCTGCAGCAGGACCCTGTTGGTGAAGAAGCATGAGGCAAGAGATCCAGCAGAGAAGGACAAGCAATGGCAGTGTTCAGCAGAGGCTTATAAGCTCTATGATGCTGTGTCTCTTTCCAATGTTTCCATGTCACCAGGAGAGTGCCCCGCGAACTCTGTTTGTGACCCATTTGGACACCTTCACCACAGAGGCACAGCTTCAGAAGAGCTTCTCAAGCTTTGGGCCAGTGGAGAGACTCGGCAGTTCAAGCGACCGTGCAAGACCGTGGGGACTCTGTAGAGACTTTGGGCCAGACCCGTTGGAACTCCAAGGAAAGTCGACTTGAAATGCGTGGAGAAGAGAGCTCCCAAGGTGGGCGCGGCAGTTTGACTGAGTTGTCGCAGACGTTTGTCCAAATCTTCTTGATGCTTTCACCAGGAGCTGTGATATTGATATATTGATAGATGTATACTTATCTAACTATAGTGAAACTAGTCGAATGCCATGACCTCAGGTCGAACAGAGGGAGGATCATGTTCGGCTGCACGTGGTTTTTGCTCGGATTGTCTTCAAAGAGGCGCTTCCGTCGCTTGATCGCTCAAAACTTACAACGTGCAGGTGGACGCTATGGCTCACCATTGCTCGCTGTAGGGAACGGTTTCAGCAACCCCCGTAGCACTGGATACTTCCTGCTGTCAGAGTCTTTTTGGTCCAGGTGCAATCTTTGCAAAATGCTTTGGACGCAGCCACTGGTCGAGTCTCTCATGCTGTGCTACCCCCGCCCGCTCCGGTGTTGAAAGAATGTTTGCGCGCCAGAAAATCCTTCTACCCAGACACTTGCTTGAAGAGAGAGGGAGAGAGAGAGAGAGAGACTGAGACTTTGTCCCCCCCTTTTTTTGCGAAGGTGTTTGTAAGCCTACGTGGGCCGAAGCTGATAGCGAGATTAATTTCAACGTTCTCCCTAGGACCCTACGAACCTGCGGCGTGAGATTGATGAGTGGATGGCAAACTATGATGAGAAACAGGAAGAAAAGAAGAGGTTGGCAAGAGAGACGCAGGTGGACGAGGATGGATTTACCAAGGTCATCTCTGGTATTACCAAAACTCCAGATGGCTTGACCATTCGTGGTGCACCTCGGCCAGCGATGAAGATTGGCGCCTTTGCAGAGGCCATGACATCTAGAGGAAACGCCGCGCCCTCGAAGAAGAAAAAGAAGCAGAAGGAAATGCCCGATTTCTATCGATTTCAAATGCGAGAAAAGCGACGGGAAGAGATCATTGACCACCGCAAGCGCAATGCGAAAGACATGGACACCGTGAAACAAATGAAGAAGGCAGGGCATTCAAGCAGATTTTCGCAAAGCTTGTGCAGATGTAGCTCGATTCAAATCCATCGCCAGCCGAGGCCAAGCGATTTGGTTTGGCAACCTCTGAGTAAGCCGTGCGAAAAAGACATGGGAGCCTTCTTGCTGTTTCGCCTCTTTGTTCATTCAGCATGTTGGTTTCCGACAGTCAGATCATGTAGCTTTGGTGTGGAAACTGGTCTTCATTGAAAGCTGGAGAGTTTCAGCCACATCAGGGCAATTTGCAACACCTTTGGCGTAGACTACATGGATAAGACAACTGGCCGCAAGAATCTCAGATGCGTAGTCCAGCGATTCTGGTGTCGATGCAAAACCGTGTCAATTCAAGGTTGGTATCCCAAGCTTCCACCTGCAGTCATTTTCTTGTGCGAGGCTGGAGTTGTGCGAATCACAATCCCCCACCGCTGACAAGATACTAAGTATATAAATGCGTGTATACATATATATATATATAAAATATATATATAAATAGGGCTCAAGGTTTCGGCTCGAGGCGCAGGTTTCTCCTCCCTGTTGTTCCTCGCACTACGCGACTTCGAGCCGGACACCCCGGAACCTGAAGAGGGTGGCCTCTGCGGCAGCATGGAGTGGTCCTCAAGATCTTCCTCATGGAGAAGGTCGTACCAGTGTTGCCGAGGACCCGCATGCCCTAACTGGATTTGGGAAGACAAGATATGTGAGGGCTATGTCTGTCGCCAATGTGGCTTGGCCTGGTCACGACCTCCTCAAGGATACAGCAGTCAACCTTCCTCCCGAAGATCTCCTACCCGATCTCAAGGAAGGTTTGCTCCTCGACAGAAGCCAGTGACCCCTCCGCCGGGGTTAGGAGGGCATAGAGGCTCCAAAATAGGCCAAGTTCACAAAGCCACCACGGACCTGCTCACTACCTCCTGGAGCTCCCTGGATTCCAAGCTGCAAGCTCAGTTGGAACAGCTAGGAATCAAACCTCCTGCCCAAGAGAAGGAGCCTGAGCTGACCGACGTCCTCAAAGAGAACATGGCTCAGCTGCCTACTGCGGTCAAGGAGTTGGTGGAGCGCATCACGCGTCCGCCGCCAGAGACAGAAAAGGACATGGCCTTGAAGTTGAAGTCCCAAGTCTCTGCTTTGAGAGATCTGTCTCATCGGAAACAGGTCCTTCAGGCAAAGATTGACTCCACTAAGAAGACATACTCGGACATGCTGGAAGATATGAAATCCCTTCAATCCAAGCTTGAGGCCGAGCAGTCTGCCCTGAACACGACGAGTGCTGCCTATATGGCCTTGGTCAACACACAGAAGCCTGCCGAAGCACTCCAGGATGGTCAGCCCATGGAAGACACAGTTCCAGACGCGGTCGCTGGGTTTATCACCACCTTAGGTGTCAATCTCACAGCTGATCAAAAGGCTCAGCTCAGTTTGATGTTGAAGCGACCTCCAACGGACCCAACAGAGGAGGAGAACAAGCGTCGCAAAACAGCTGAGACCCAGTCGTGTGGGTAACCTTCCGGAGAGAGATGTCAATGCTCCCACTTTGGATGTGGGTCTATTAGGGGTTGCTGAATCACTTCAGCCGCATGGGGATTCTCAATTGAGTTGCGCGGGGACAGTCAACTCCTTTGAACCTTTAGCTGTTCCAGGCTCGAACGAGGACCAGGGTAGCCGCGGGACCTATGGACCCTGGCGTTCGCAGCCCACCTTTTTCAAATTGAGAGGAGGTGGTTGCCACTCTACCATCTCCGCCGAGAGCCACCAGTCTAACCCAGGGGCACCGAGTTCCACTACCTCAGGGCGGACCTTCAAGGGTACTGCCAACCACGGGACCCCACGGGATCGACTGGCCAGGCTCTTGCTTAGCATCATGGATGATGATGATCATCCAATGCATGAGGAAGTTTTGACACCGGGCCAACAGGCCTTATACGATCTATGCAAGCATGACCTTTGGACATCGCGCCGAGCTTTTGAGGCTGGGTGGAACCGTGCACAAGGTCAACAGTTTCTTGTCGATCTCAAACGCATGGAAACCGTTCTCCACAAGCTCCTGGCACTTCAAGGGGACCTTCCACATTTGCCCATCAACGTTTATGTGATTGGGCAGGCTTTGACCAGTCGGCTCCTTAACTCCCAAAATCTCTGCTTTGGGAACTCCGCTTTCCGATGCTGGAGTTGGGCTGGAGCACATGCCGAAGATCCCTCCATTGCCTGGGGTCGCACACACCAGGCTGTACGCACCTTTCTGGAGGAAAACGAACCCATTTCCCTCAGGGACTTGACCCCTTTGGAGCCTCTTTGGCACCACTTTCAACAGGGCCAACAAGCGGACGTCGGGGACTTTGTGGGTCATTTGGCTAGCCTGGCCCATGGTACCTTCATCGGCGGCAAGTTCTATCATGTCACCACGGACGGGCGTTTGGACGAGCGTGAGCAAATTCCCTTGAACATGATTTGCCCGGGCGGTGACTCTCCGATCTCCCTGGATGACATCGTCAACCTTTGGGCAGAAGAAGAAGGGGGACAATATTTGTACGGCACACCAGGAGGCCTCATCATCCACATCCAACGCTCCCTGCTGGTTGAGGGCCAGTGGACCAAACACAACCGTCCATTGGAACTTTCTACGACCATCACCATCCCCTTCTCTGAGGATGGCATCAATGTGCACTCAGCTACCTACAGGATCGTCAGCATGATTCTGCACAAAGGCCATGGACACCAAAACGGGCACTATGTGGCCATCCATGCCATGGACAATGCTTACTGGTATGCGGATGATGGCACTTTTCCGGTTCCTCTTCCTCACCTGCTGGACAACCGCCGACAAGAAATTGTACAAGTTTGGTTGGTTCACGAATGCAGTGGAGAATTGGTTCCGGACACCGTTGAAGCTCTGGAACCGAGTCAGCCAAAGCGAGCCAGACACCACTCGGAGACTTTGCACTTTGTGTTTGCCAATGTGACCTCCTTTGGACGCAGGGTGCAAGATTGGGTTTGGACCAAAGGAGAACACATTCTCCTTTTCCAAGAAACGCACCTTGGGCAGAAGAAGATGGAAGAAGCCCAACAATACTTCAACACTCGAGGGTGGAAAAGCCATGGCCTTCCAGCGGAACCCACGGGCAGAGGAGGCAACACTGGTGGCTTCCTTATTCTCCATGGCACTCGTCACCTCACTCATGTGGCCCACTCCTATATCCAAGAAGGCAATGGCTGGATGGCTCTTGGCCTTCAACGACAGAGCACCACCTTCTTCCTCATCCAGCTCTACTTGCGCACGGGCGAAACCCTGCAGTCACCCCTCAATGCGTCCATCCTGGGCAACCTTCTGGCTTTCCTTGAGCAGACTCAGGCACCTTTCATTGTGGGGGGCGACTGGCAAAATGAGCCGGAGGCATTAGCGGCCACCGTCATCCAAAGTCGGTTCAAAGCTCAAGCTTTGGCTAGTTGTGTCTCTCTTCAAGTGGATTGGGACGTCCCATGGAAGCCCCATTGTGGACTCATGGTGGATTTGCATTGCGATCAAGCGGAGATCCAAGTTCCACAGCTCCAACGTTTCCCACCCATTGGTCGCACCATGCAGCTGCCGGCGTCATGGACCTCCTTCTGGGAAGATGATGGGCCCTTCCACATCATGGGCCAACCCATCACGGGGTTGGGATCCGACTTGGCCAGATGGGCCACCCAAACTGAGAAGTACCTCACACAGCTCCTCCACAATCCCACCACGGGGCGAGGCAGCCGGATCCACCTCTACAACGCTCCGCTGGTTGATCAAGGCCGGTCTCTGACGTGGCGGAAAGGTCATCTTGCCTTCTGGGAAAAGATGAAGGTCCGCATCAATGTTGTCCATCAGACCCAACATGGACGGGTTGCCAATGACCTCCTCAACATGCTGGATGGCTTGCAGGCCCATGCTTCGGAGCACATGAGTCAAGATCTCTTCAAGGCTTTGCTTGGCCATTGGATTGAGCATCCTACGAATGAGCCCACCGAACTTCGACGGATCATTGCTGAAGAAGAGCAACTTGCCCATCAGAAGCTTTCCAGTAGCACAAATGAGGAATACCGTCTTTGGCTTGAGAAAGCCCATGAGAAAGGCCTACGTGGTCTCTTTCGGAGCCTTCGCCAGAGAGACATCCCTTGGCAAAGACCTTTCCAGCACCTCCCTGCCGGGGAAAGACTACAGGCTCGGGAGGCTCAATGGGGAGCCATTTGGCAGCCTCGGGACGAACCTCGACCGATTCGCTCCTGGGACCTTCTCCGCCAGGCTGCAATCGATCAAGCACAACAACTCCCACCCTTTCAATCGTATCAGCTGCAGCAACTTTTCCGACGACTTCCCAACAAGGCAGCGGGTCCGGATGGCATCTCCTATGATTTTCTGAGGCATTTGCCGTTTCCTGCTGTGGAGAAACTGGCAGACCTCCTGACCACCATGGAAAGGGAGGGTGAGCTGGCTGTCCAGCTTCGAGCCACCAACATTGTGCTCATCCCCAAGAACTGCAAGGTGGAGAGGCCCATTGCCCTGACCAGCTGCATCTACCGGGTTTGGTGTTCTTACAGGAAAGCAGACCTGCAACGATGGCAATTGTCTCTGGATGATAAGCTCCCTTGGGATCAAGCTCGACCAGGCAGAGATTGTTTGAGCATTGCGATTGGCAGAATGCTACATGCTGAAATTGCTCGACATCAAGGTATCCACACGGTCACCTGCCTCGCTGATCTCACTTGCTTCTATGATCACGTGGACCTGGACCAGATCATTGAACCTGCCAGGGATTTGGCCTATCCCCCGTTGCACCTCAAGTTTGCCTTGGACTTGTACACGGGCCCCCGGACTCTGCAAGCGGAAGGGATCAATGGAAACACTCGGCGCTATGACAAAGGCATTCTTCAAGGATGTCCTCAAGCCCCAGCCATCTCCAAGCTCATCCTCTACCGACCACTGGAAGCGCTGGTCAAAGCCCACCCTGCAGCTTCTTTGCAGACATGGGTTGATGATGTCAGCTTCGACATCCACAGTCGGGATGCAGACTTCGCGGCCAGAGAGGCACTTGGCGCTTTCCGCACCCTCAAGTGGCAAATGGAGCAAGCTGGCTTGGTTTTAAACACCGACAAGACGGGTTTCCTCACTAGCTCCAAGGAGTCCGCCAAAGCCCTTAAGGCCCTGCTGCAAGAAGGTGATCCGGAACATTATAATGTTCTCCGCGATTTGGGGGTGGATTCAACGGCTGGTCGGCGAAGACGGGTGCCTCAGATCCGCAAGAGGTTCCTCAAGGGCAAGGGCAGAGTGGGCATCATGCATCGTCTGCGCATAGCCCAGGGCATCCGTTACCGGCTACACAAAGGAGCGGTGCACCCGGTTATGTCTTTTGGGGCTCAAGCCAATGGTTTAG